AGTAAGTAAATAAGTAAGTAATGAATTCCTATGTGATCAAGCGAGTACTTGTGTTGGTTTCCTGTCACATTTATGTATGCTTAATGTTCTAATGACAGCATACATGTACCACAACAACGTCATCTAAAGCTTCTAAACCCGGAAGCAGTTTCTAATGTATCCAGAGCCATTCAGTACAGCTGAAGAAAAATTAAAGCAATTCATTCTGAATAGCATTAGTGTTGTTCAAATCTAATGAGTTCATAAGACAGCCTGGTATGGCAGTAATGTTGTTCCCACCCCAGAACTTAGTAAACAGCCATGTTAGACAGAAAGTAGGAAAGTATCAAAATAGGTTGTCAATTATTCAACACAAGTATTATGAAAATCAGGAAATTTCTGTTTAAATGTGAACTGGGACAGCAGCAGTACCAGCTGATTATGTGTGTAGATGTCTGTCTTCTAAGCTATAATGCCACGTAGTCTGTTAAAAGTCAAGCAACATTTTGGAGAACCATATCACTTCCATCTTTGGGTCCAAGAGTAAGCAGAGTAAGCACACCAGTGTGAAAGCAGGTGGCAAGCAGAGCTTTCATGCTTGTTTCCTGCTCAGCTTATTCATATACCCTGAAGATTGAAGTGACGTTCCTCCAAAACGTAGGTTGACTTTCAACGGACTACACAGCGTTATATCCTGGAAGAGAGAACTCTTCATAACCACTAACTTGAGAACCTCAAATCCTACACAGTACTGTGTGTCTGAACTTGCCTCCTTCTTATCCATCTCTTCCTTCAGAGCCTTTATGTGAGCCAACATCTGACTCATCTCTTGCTCCTGCTGTTCCAACTGCATGATCATCTGTGTGTAGTTCTCAGATGCCAAATAAACACCATTTTTATCACGTGTTGCTGCCAGATCCCTCCGTAATCGCTCAATTTCTGCAGTGTACTCCTGTAATGACAAATAACATATCAAAACATCTTCTTCTATCAAGGAAAATCACCATCCAGTACAGACTTAAATCTACGTATATCACCAGTACACACTACAGTAGGATTATAATTAAACCTAAGGCATTGCTTAAGTGTAAATACAGACTTTCCTTTTTTACAAAAACCAAAATAAACATTTTCACACAATATTTGTAGATGGTGGTTGCTCATTTTGGCAAAAAAATTGAATATGTCCACAAACATATCACTAAAATGATACATTATCCAGCTGTTACACAGATTGTCTCTGGAAAACTTACCAAACATTAACGCCTCCACAATTTTATTTATCACCATTCAAACTGGTATAAATTTAATCAAATATGAGAAAACATCAGGTAACTTCAGGATTACTGGGATTTAGGCTTTGTCCATCATTCAGTATTCTAAAGAACACAGTGTTTCAGAAAGTGGATGCTTCCAATCTCAGTTAAGGTGGTGGGAGACACCCACTTTCTTGTGTGTTAGAAGAAGCTAACCTCATCAAACAATCAATCTATCATCCAGTGATTGAGGTTAGCTCTTTCTAACAGACCCAACATAGTAGATGTCTCCCAAAATGTCACCTGAGGATAGAAATAGATCCAGTTTTAGTCACCAGCTTCCCACCATGGCAGACCAGATTGGATCTCAGGTCAGGTCATGTGGGAATTGTGGTGGACAAAGTGGAGCTGGGGCAGGTTTTCTCAAAGTACTTCAGTTTCCCCTGCCAATTCTCATTCCACCAACTGCTTCACACTCATCAACATCCATCATCAGGGACTGGTACAACAGGCCAGATAGTGGCCAACGTACCAAGTGGGCTCACTCTCAGCCCACCCCAAAAAATTAAAAATAGAGGGGAAAAGAGTTGCCCTTCCCTATATCTGTAGCTTCCAATTTTCCATACAACATACGCTTCTAGCATGAAGATGAAGACACCAAGCTCCTCAGAAACATTGGTACCTATCCACATGATGTCAAACCCCTAAGCGCTTATTTTTATATTTACGTGAGAACCTCAGATCTCGCGGTTTTTATATTCTTCCCCTCATCCTACGATGTTAACAGATGGCAATGAAGTGCGAAAATGAAAATGGATGGGATTCCTCCACATGCGTGACACTAATTTAGTCGCTATTCCTACTAAACAAGACACAATGCGAGCCTTGGGACAAGCCATTCTTGAACCCGTGGGTAGCCTTGACCTTTCCCCAACTCCACACATTACAGACTGCCACACATCGACCCCGCAAGCTCGCCTCCATGCTAACCCATTCCAAGTTGTCATAACGGGGCAGAGTAAACTCGCAAAAAGCCTGAAGCAGGACAGACGGAGGGTCGGTCATCGGGCCGAGATCAAACCCGTGACTTCCCGAATACGAAAATCCCTCTATACAAATCACATGCGAATAGCCATATTTTTCAAATTACTCATAAGAACAGAACCTGAATTGGTGAAAAGATACAGGCGACTTACTTTAGATAAACTGAATAATTAAGACTGACGCACCCATCCGTTACAGTAAACAAACATTAAATTCACATGCAACTATTCACCGCCAGGTATTACTTATCTGCATTGTCCAGAAGTTAAAACCACATACCGAATAAATAAGTACTGAACATTAAGTTTTCACGGTTCACTGCTATCACATATAATAAAAGCAAATTATATACATAAAATGTGTTTGTATTATATTGTAATACAACACTACGGTAAAATAATACGCATTTCAACGGGTAAAGCCGTGTAGATCTATAAATTCTAGTAAGAGGATGCTTCATTTAACTACGAGTATTACAGACAATAAGAGACTTCGATATGGCGTGTTCGAAAGACCACTGTTTATTGATGAGTATATAAAGTATGATGTCTAAGATAAAGCTATCCCTGTAACAGACCGTGAAGGCTCGTATGGTTGTGAGACGTTTAGTATCCCACATTTTCTAGACAATCGGCTCACAGATGGGGGTCAATTCTTCAGCTTTACACGCCGGCCGTCCTTAATTCCCAGGAAGATTCCTGGTACGCATTTCTGTTAGAGGCTGAGTCGACCCCAGGTCCATAGTGCGGCTGGAAAAATTAGGTGAGTTGAAAAAAGAATCCTCCTCATCGGGTCTTCAACCGGCAATCTTCCGGCTTGTAGCATAATGCCTCAACCAACTATCAATTATGATATGTACGCATAACAATTCTTGTTCGATTATCTACAAAAATCGTAACATTTACGGGATAAGTTTATAAGGCTTAAAAAGGCGTCTCACTTTTCTCTGAACTTATGTTCGAAGTACTTCTCGCTCCGATAAATATTTAACTAGTTATGCTCGGGATACGCGTAAAACAGCATGTAGGTCTTCATGAAAAGTATCCGTTATTTCTGCCCGACTTTAACCCAAATTGTGATGTGTCGACAAATCTGAATAAAACTCCCAAATGTGAAATGTCACTGAAATACGTTCAACTGTTCGAACGGATTACCTCCCAAATACAAATACCGAGCATTACCGTTACATAAACGTGCTTGGTTAAAATGCAGTCCATGTTAGAACTACATAGTACGCCTGCTATCAAACTACATGTGTCCGAGATGCCGACCAAATCACGTTAAGTTGTACCACGTCCTGCCCAATTTATCTGATACAGTCTACCTATCTATGGCTCTACAGCCCATGTGGACTTCGGCCGCTTTTTCAATTTCTTAATCCTGTACAAAGTCGGCAGACTCCTTGGACGCGGGATCAGCATTTCGCAAGGCCGCTACGTACACACAGAATAAGCAAAGAGATATCAATGCTTCGAGTGGGATTCGAATCCATGACCCCAGTGTTCGAGCGGGCGAAGACGGTTCATGCCTTAGACCGCGCGACCATTGTGAGCGGCTCCGATACAGTGTAGTGTGAGATAATACTGTAGTAACAGCTCTTTCCATTTCGATTATCTCAAACGCTTCACTTGTATGCGGCAGATTCCGGACACCGGCTATCCCGAAGGGGTTTTCGTGTTTTTCCTCAATATCCTTAGTCAGGTGCCGGTGTAGCACCTTAAATTAGGCCACCACCATTTCCTTCCACATCCTTTTCAATTACTTATTCACTGCAATTCGATCATTTTACGCTATATAAGAATCATTGATATCGTAGTTAAATAAACTACAAATAAAACAAACTCCGTGGTTTTAGTCCGCAAGCGAACTATACCGACTGAGCGACTGCCGCTTTGGCGGATAGAGGGTGTCACGTGGTCAGCGCAACGAATCCCCACGGCCGTTAATTTCGGTTTTCTAGACTAGAAAAAAAACTACAAATAAGAAACATAAAAAATAAATCGGCCCGAAACGCCTGTCATCCATTCTAACATCTTCCTTGGCTACGCCTATGTGTATTCATCTAGCAAAGGAGAAAACAGCTACCCTTCAAGACTCTTGTCACGAAAATCATCCACACATCTGTGCTTAGTATTTCTTGCGAGTGATTATGGGACAGTCTTGTCATTGTGTTTTATTACAGTCAATTTCAGTTTTTGCAAACAAAGTGGCTGATTATTAGCAATTACGAAACTCAAAAAGTGGTACAGACAAACATAATTACAATTGCTTTCTTCCTCCATGCCATTAAGCTCGGGTTTAGGTCGCGCCATAGCTCAAGCGGTTAGTCGCTAGCTTCCCACCGCGGCGGCCCGGGTTCGATCCCGGTTCTGGTCAAGTGAGATTTGTGGTGGACAAAGTGGCGCTGGGGCAGATTTTCTCTGAGTACTTCGGTTTCCCTTGCCAATCTTCATTCCACCAGCTGCTCCACAATCACCTTCACCTATCATCTGGGGCTCGTACAACAGGCCACAAGTGGCCGCAGTACAAGGGATTAGTCCCACCCCACTAGCAATAAAAAAAAAAGCTCGGGTTTCCACATACAACGGCCGACAGCAGACGTGAAGGCCAAAGACATACCTGAAACTAGTTTTCTGTAACTTTCACTTTTAGTCAGAGGTGAGAAAACACGAGTTCGTCGCCGAACGTCTCAAACACGAATATACTTGCATTAAACTATCCTTAAACAATTAATCTGTCAGACTTAAAGAGAGAGGGAGAGAGAACCGGATATATTCAGGAGTCTATTATAAAAATTATCCTCAATACAGTTCGTAGACTCATTTTCTTTCTCAAATACCTTTGCAGGTGCTCTAGTGCTCAGTTTTTCTTCAGAGCTCTCCATCGCTAAGTTGAGAAATAGCACAGCCATTTCGTTAAACATGCAAAAATAGTATAAAAGATTATTAACGCCGTCCAGTGTGACTGATGAATGTCGTGTTTTATTTTTAATCTTTAATCCTTTAAACGTTTCGGTCGGAGCGACCATCTTCAGAAGGACATTAACAATTCATGCGGAAACTATTACAATACAATGTTGTTGGTCATTATACATAGACACTACTACTACATTGTCATAAATATAAAATATTAGTCTTTAACAATTACTGCGATGTGCGTGAATTTATTAAAACATTTATAAAATATTACACTTAGTCTATTTACAAGTACGGTTTAAAACATTTTTGTTAGAATCTAGAAGTACAAAGGACATGGACCAAATTGGTTCTAGATTCTAACAAAACGTTTTTAAACCATACTCGTAAATAGTAAAAAGTAAAGTAAATCTATCCCTGTAACAGGCCGTGAAGATCCATTGGATTGAGAGAACGTTGATGGTCCCACATTATCTAGACAATCGGCTCAAAGATGGCGGCAAGGTTGTCAGTCTTACGCGCCGGCCGCGCGTTACTCCCCAGGAAAATTATTTAATTAATTCCTGGTACTCATTTCTGTTAGAGGCTGAGCCGACCCCAGGGCCATAGTGCGGCCGGAAGGTTTAGGCCAACTGAAAAAATCCAATGACATCATCGGGACTTGAACCCGCGACCTTCCGGCTTGTAGTATAGCGCCTCTACCACCAACTACGCTACCGCGTGCTCCCACTTGTAAA